TCTTGAGGCTACACAGGCATATGGAACAGAGACAGACTGCGAGGAAGAGCAGGAGCCTCTGAACCATACCCAACCCTACTCCAACTTCTCAACTGCTAAAACTCAGCTCATCCCAGTAGCAAAGCCTGATGATGACGAGGAGGAGGAAGATAAAGAGACACAAAATGACTCTCACCTTTCCACAGCAGACACTCTGATCATAGCCAGCACCCCAAAACGGGAGGAGCAGACGCAGCCGTTTTCTCTTTTCACAGCCCAAACACAACTTGTCTGGGAGGGAGAAGACAAAGAGGTTTATCAGAATGAGCCCACCCAGCTCATGACCGACACCATTGAAGAAATGGAAAAGGGTGAGGAGGAGGGCATGAAACGAGGTAGGAGAACCCGTGGTGAAGGGACAGTACACAAAGGTAAAAACACCAGCTCCTGTTTTATAATTGCTGAAACTCAGCCCATGTGTGAGGAAGAAGAGGCAACAGATGCAGATCTGAGTGGGGATGGCTTTCAGAAACCAAGACAACGGTCTGAGAAATATGATTCTGCACATCTTGCTGAAAACAACTTCAGCTCCCATCTCACTATAGCTGAAACGCAACCAATGTGTGATGATGATGATGATGCACCAGATCAGGACAAAGTGGTCAGCAGTAGTCATATAGAAAAACCTTCCAGTTCCCATATCGCCATCGCAGAAACGCAGCCAATGTTTGAGGAAGACGAAGCACCAGAGGATGATCTGAACAATGAGGTCCGGAGAAGACAAACCGAAGGTGAGCCTGTACATCATATTGAAAAGCCCTCCACCTCCAATCGTGCCATCCCTGAAACACAGTCTGTTGGTGAAGATGATGAGGGACAAGAGGAAAAGCTCAGCAGCAAGATGTCCATCAGAAGATCACGCAGGTGTAGACCAAAAAAAGAGAAGGAAGTCCCACTACCTGCCGAGGCTGTTGTCGAACACACTATAACAGAAACACAACCAGTGTGTGAGGAAGAACAAACTGAGGATCTGAAAAGTGAGGTCAGCTCTGGGAGACAGAGTAAAAGACAACAAGCACATGAATTCAAATCTCCAGAACTTGCTAAACTGAACTTGAAAGTATGTGTCACTGTTGCTGAAACGCAACCTATGTGTGAAGAAGAGGCACCATGTGAAGATCTGATTAATGCAGTTAGCACCAGACAGATAGATGAAGACAGATCCACAGAACTCCCAATAACCTCGAGCTCCCATATCAGCGTAGATGAAACACAGCCTATGCATGAGGAAGAAGAAGGACAGGAAAAAGACATCAGCAGCAAGATGGCAAGCAGAAGATCACAAAGGGGAAGACCAAAGAAAGACGACGAGGTAACACAAACTGCTGAGGCTGCTGTTCATCAGACTATCACAGAAACCCAACCAGTTCCTGAAGAAGTGATTGAAAGGGATGAAGATCTGAACAGTGGAGTGAAATCCAGGAGGTCCCGCAGAGGAAGGCAGATAAAAGAGGACAGCGTTCCACAACCTGCTGAAGCTGCCGTCAGCTCCATTTTTATTAACACAGAAATGCAGCCTGTTCATGGGGACAGAACTGAAAGGGATGAAGATCTGAGTGGCATCAGATCCAAAAGACCCTGCAGAGGAAGACAAAAAGATGAAGGTGAACCTGCACAGTCTGCTGAACCGAACTCTGATCTCAGTGTTGTTGAAACACAGCCCATGTTTGAGGAGAATGCCCAAGAAGAATCGAGTCTCAGAAGCAGCAAAAGAAAGAGGAAAGGCAAGACAGAGGTGAAGGAGAACACCCAAGAAAAACCTAGTAGCAGAAGACAGAGAAAAGACAAGACAGAGGTGGAGAGTGAGACCGGTGTATCTAGCAAAGTCCAAGGTAAAACTAGAAAAGGGCAGGAAGGAAAAAGAAAGAGGGGTAAAGCGTTGTCTGAGGATGAGGAAGAGAGTGAAGATGAAAAAACCACAAGGAGAGGAACCAGACGGACGAGTATAAAACTGAAGTGTAGTGAAAATGAAGAAGAGAAAAAATTGGAGGAGAGGAATGCCCAAGAAGAGAAAGAGAGGCTGGAGAAAGAGCTCCAGCAACGAGAGGAGACAGAGAGGTTAGAGACGGAAGAAAAGGAGAATGGGAGAAAGAAACGAGAAGAACGTGAACGGAGAAAGAGGGCTGAATCCGAAATGAGACAAACACTAGAAAGGGAGCAGAAGGAATTAGAGGAAAAAGAACGATTGAAAAGGGAAGAAGATGAAAAAATTAGAAAAGAAAATGAGAGAATTCAGCGGGAAAAAGAGGAAAAAGATTGTTTAGAAAAAGAAGAGAAGGAGAGGTTTGAAAGGGAGAGGAGAGAACTAGAAGAAAGAATTCAGAAGGAGGAAGAAGAGAAGAAAAGGTTGGAGAGGGAGAGGAGAGAACTAGAAGAACAAAGACGAAAGGAAGAAGAGGAAAGAATTCAAAAGGAGAAGGAAAGATTAGAGGCGGAAAGAGAACAATTAGAAAAGGAAAGACGAGAAAATGAGGAACGTCTGATGAGAGCAACAGAACAAAAAAAGACAAAGGAGAAAAACCATCAGAAACAAAAGAATGAGGAGGACAAGACAGAACTAGAAGCTCCTCTAGTTCCTCCAGCCAGACAAACACGCCGCTGCTCAGGCTCCTCTATGAACTCGGATCAGTCTGTATCCTCACAACAGGAGGTGTCCACCCAGAGGGGACGAGGGCGAGGCAGGGGGCGAGGCCGAGGGAAACAGACAGCTGATGAGCAACCCATCAGTGCTAGACAGTCTAGCAGGAGAGGAGCAGCTAGTGCAGTTGAAGACACAGAGCAGGACTCCAATTCAAAAACCCGTTCCCGATCCCGCTCCAGTTCTAGAAGTTCTGAAAGATCTGCTCATAGTATCGGACCTTCGAACCAAGGGACGAGAGAAAGAGGCAGAGGCAGGAAGAGTATGAAACTACCAGAACCGGAAGAAGTTTCCCAAGCTAAAACTTCTGGAAAAGGCAGGGGAAGAGGAGGAAGGCGTTCTGGTGTAGAAAATGTAAATGTCGGAATGTACAATGAGCTTGAGCAAGATGCTGAGGTGGTGGAGGACAGCACTGCTGTGCCCCAAACCAACAACAGAGGTCGTAAGAGAGCAGCAAACACTAGAGCATCCCCAGAAGAGGCTCCTTCACCCACACCCAAGACTCCAAGGCGGTCTGTGTCTAGTCAGGCGCACAAGGTCACACGCAGCCTCAAATACAGACGTTTACTAGCAGGTTTTATCGCTGTGTGGCTGACACCAATCTGTCATCTACTCTTTTAGGTGTTATTCACTGGGCTGACAGATGAGGACGGAGAAAGTGTCGTCACCCGGTTAGGTGGAAGTCTGGCGAAAGGAGTAAACGATATGACTCACCTAGTGACTGATAAAGCGAGACGCACTGTTAAGTTTTTGTGTGCTGTTGCCAGAGGGGTGCCAATCGTGTCTCCTGATTGGCTAAAGAAGGTGAGGTAGTGCATATTAAAGGAATATTCCTGGTACAACCTAGCCAAACCCAAAATCCATTATTCATATCTGACTTTAAGCCTATAAAATGCTTGTTAAATTACATTTTTATAATATGAATCTTCCATCTTTACCATTAATTGGTTGATAGTGTGATAGACCATCACCATATCTGATGGCAGTGCTTCAATACCCCTACCCACTCACAACACATTAACATCTTTTGCTGAACCCAGAAATTTCTGTATGTTTTGTCCATGTATTTCCTGGTCAAGAATGGTTTCTTATGATATTGCTGATTTGTTTCTCTGTTTATGTTCGAGAAGCTGTTTGACAAGGGTTTCTAGCTGTGTAACTAGTACATAATTCAGACTTTATTTTGAGCTCAACTCAAGCATGACATCATCCTCCTCTTTCTCTCTTAGTGTGGAAAAGCGGGCCATTTCCTTTCTACTGATGAATATATATTGAAAGACACCGAGCAGGAGAAAAAGTTCAGTTTCAGCCTACAGATGTCACTGCAAACTGCTCAAACTCAACCCCTTTTAAAGGTATTAGTCCCTCACAAGCACATTAGCATATCAGGCCCAAGCCTCAAGTTGTACCATTCGCATCATATATTTTCTCCCCTAATTTTGCTTTCATAGGGTTATGAGATTCACGTAACCCCTTCTGTGATGCCGGAACCGTCTCAAATGAAAGAAATCATCACCTGCTGTGGAGCACGCTTCCTCCCCAAAATGCCCTCTGCTCACAAGGTACCCAGAACCAATGCATATATTGTCCTATTTCAATGCACATATTACATATTCTCATATTGTATTGCGATTTCTCCCTCTGTTTATTTAGGGGCACACTGTGGTGGTGTCATGTGAGCAGGACACGGCGCTTTGTGATAAGGCAGTGAGTATGTCATTGCCCATGGTCAGCACAGAGTTCCTGTTGACTGGCATTCTGCAGCAGAGAGTTGACCTGCAGGCCTATTCTCTCACTTCCTCTCTCAACATGTCCAATCAGCCTGCGGCCCCCAAAGCTACTGCCAGGGGCCGAAGAAAGTAGTGACAATGACATAGGAAAGGACTTGTTGTGTATTACATTTGTTCTAGTCTGTGATAGAATCTAATACAAGTATGTTTCAGTACAGATTGCTTAAGATGAATATGTGACACATAATATCTCAGTTTTATGAAGTCTGTAATGAGTTAGATGAGATGCTGTTACACTTGTAACCACACACCCACTGATTCCTGTGAATGTGAGAGCTGGAGAGAGTGTGAGGTGGATGTCAATGAATGATGCGTGTTAGTGATGGGAGAATGAGCTCCTCTCATTTTTTAACGTATTACTTCAATAAACGCTTTCAGAGCCAAAATAAAGAAATATTGTGCGTTTTGCCCCTTTTGCATTCAAAAACTACATAAAAACAAAATGCAGCAAATGGTCTAGTGCACGTTTATATTCACAAGGGCGTTGGTCTCAGTGATGATTCGATCTGAAGAACACCTTAAAGACCTTCACGTCGGCTCTGCAAAGGTTGGCTGTGTGTGTTCAGATCCGCTGACACGCCCATAAGGGGTTGAAGCGCCGGGCTGTACCGACCGCACTCGAGACGCTGCAAGATACTGGACAGATTCCTAAGGTGCATCTTAGTCCTTAAGTGATCTTCGAGATAGGAAGCTGAAAGGAACGAATAGCGGATTTTCCTTCTATTACAGACTATCAGCTGAGGAGGGTATTGGAGGTGAGCGGTGAACACGGTAAGGGAAAATGTCAATTTTGCGGCAGGGATATCATAAATGTGCAGCTTGCTTTGGCTTGCAGGAATTGAAGGGTTAAATTCTGCAGTTTCTGCTTCGTCTGGTACTTTTCCGATTGGATAAAGTTGCTGGTTGCTGTTGGAACGCGAATAAAATAAGATGTAAGATGCATGTTTGGTCATTTAGAAGAACATTTCGGCTTGTTGAAGAATAGATTTGCGCTCGTTTCTGCATAGCATCACATTAAATGCCCCGTCCGCGCGAGAGCGCCGGTTCAGCATCCTGTTTTAACATGAAATGTTGCTATTAAAATACGCATTGAGATTAAATTAGAGGAAAATTAACGATGAGAGCAAATATTATCATTGTATACATATTTATCGCTATAAGCTGTAACTATAATTTTAATAATAACATTAATAATTTAGATTTTATATTCTCAGGGAGTGCACAGCTAATTTTGCCGGTACTGCGGCTCAACTGGCCAGTATCATTTTGTGGTCTGATATGCACCATCATAACCCCTACATGTGTAGGCGATCTTTCTCAGCTTGTGACCGACAGAAAATTTGTTTGACTGGCAAATATTTTAATGATTGGGAGGGGGAAAAGATCATAACACAAGGTTTTCGTCAGAAACAGAGGGGAGATGTGAGCTGCCGCCGCCCCCGCCGCTTATAACACATGCGGACTGTGTCTCAAACCCCATTCAGATGCTTAACTAATAGGCTACGCCATATTCTCAACCATAATGATGCCTAAAAATGGAGCCTAGGTAGTCAGCTCACTTGGTTGTGAGACACAGCCATGATCTCATCGCCTTTCATGTCATATCAGACCCTTTTAACTATTGCATTGAACTGATCTAATTCCAGGCTTTAAAATAGATTATGATCCAGGTGATAGTGTAGTCAAATACTGTAGGTCTGAATGGAATGATCTGGAAGTAATTTCCAGATGCCCCATCCTGGTCTCTTAGGAGATGACCTGCTTCTAACATCAATAACCACATATGAATTTGGTACAGCACCTTTCCAAAGGTTGAGGTTGATTTCCCTGAGCTACTATCCATCTCTTTTTATTTCCCTGCTTGCTATTGGCATAATTTACCAATATGCAATATTGCAGTTCATATATCTGCAGCAGGTTGATTTGAGCTCCTATTCATCTTTTGTATTGTGCTCAGGAGAAAAGCATGTTGTATGTGAGCATCCTGTCGCCCGGTCTGCATTTCTGCCTCCATGTTGCCCATGTTTTATGCATGCTGTGTCTTATAGGAAAGGAACTGTGAGCTTGCTGTAAGAGGTGTCATACTGTGAGAGAGAGAGAGTGAAAGCATGTAAGTGGACCAGATGGCACTTTGTCCATGTGAAATTAAATAGTGCTGATGCATTTACACATCAGCACATGTGTTTTATTGTCTAGAGAGAGAGATATGCTCATTGGCTGTTTTTTCTAATTTTTGCAACTGAGTGGTAATAAAATGTTCAAAGTTGAGCGTCTGGGCAGAAGTCTGTTATGAAATTACTGAATGGCCTAAATGCATGTCTGCTGTTCTGGATGCTTTCTTCGCTCTCTAATATGTCTGGCCTGGCAAAGGTTTTCTTAGGATTCTTTCTATGTCATTATGTGTGAAGTGTTGGCTTCTTTCAGACTGTGAATTAATGTGTTTGTCCTAATATTTCCACATTACAGATTACCATACATCATACCAACCATTATACCACCTATAATAAAATTAAAATGAATTATAATTGATATAGCCTATTAGGATAAGTGTAAGTTTAGCACAAATTATAATTTGTACCTCAAAAGGGTTTCTGTATCATTATCGACATTACATAAGTGTTGTCACAGAAAAAATGTGAAAATATTTTAGGGAATTTAAAATAGGGAATTTTAACATTTTTTCAAAATTTTGGGGGGAAATTTCCAGGCCAGTAAATGTATTGAAAAGTAATAATATATTTTTTATTTCTATAGGGAATATATTTATTTTATCTTTTACTCCAAAATGTTTAATTGGCTAAATGTTTTTTTTTTCAAACCCCATAAAAATTAGTAAATAATAGTAGTTATGAGTAAGCCCACATGGAATCTGCTCTGAAAAGAAAGTTCTGCATTTTCTGCCGATTTGAAACTATTTGTATTTAGACTGTCTATTTAGTTTTAAACATCAGAGAGAGACTTTTTGTAGAACAAACCAGGCTAACAGACTTAGTCTGATTTCATTTTCTCTGACATTTTTAATGTCTTCAGTCATTAAATCTCCTTCTGATTATAATAATGATCCACCCAGTTGATGTCATATGCTTCTCATTCCATTTATACTGACAGCACTTTATCTAAACGTATAATTTATAAGGACATTTATTGGTTGCCAATAAAGCCACAGTTACTGACACGTCCAAATAGCTCTTTAAAGAGGCTCATTTGTCAACAGAGCCCTTTTAGATCCATGGCCTGATGATCTAAGCCAGAGCTGACACATCAGCCATAAAAGCTGAAAAACAGAGCCATAGACATCTGTCTAACATTAACATAAAGTAAATTGTTTTACCGTTACACCCTATTCACCGCTCCACATCAAAGCTCTCAATCGATCTGTGTCCATTTGCCATTTTTTATCAGTTTTATCCTTTTTGTCTAGCTGGAATGTGAGAAAACTTGAGCAACATACCAATAAAACGTACACATTCACAATGTCGGTGTTTATCATTTAAATCCTCTATGAATGTAAATGCGTTTCCATGTGTAAATGTTTTCAGAGCCAGTATGCAGAATCTGAGGCTGCTCATCTTAAGCGTGCTGTTTTACTCAGGTAAGAAAGATTCCTTGTGAATCCGTTCAGTGCTTGATCTGTATCATTATCAACATTACATAAGTGTTGTTTTTTGTACTGAAATGTTAAGGTCAGTAGCTCTGACATGCTAATAGCTATTGTAGTTTTTTGAATTATAGCCCTGATGCACAATGCATCATCTCTAAGTGCTCTAATGTGCCCACAAATGGCACGGGAGTATTGAATGCACCCGCATGCAGGGACTATATACCATACGTACATAGCTTTTAGTTATATAATGAAAATCTGGCCCAATATGATCGATCTGGGTATTAAAAGTGCCGTCTCTAATGGGTATATTAGCCATACTTCATTTTCTGATACAAAGCTGTAGTTTTCATTACTTGTAGATTGGAATTTCAACCCAAAACTCAAAGCTGAAATGTGTGGTCATATTTCCGAATAGAAAAAGACAGTAAATTACTACAAATGATTTGAAACTCTTACCAAATGGCATTTGTTCACTAAAAATGTTCTTTAAATCTTTAAAATATTCGGTCCCACTTTATATTAAGTGGCCTTAACAACTATGTACTTATACATAAAAAAATAAGTACATTGTACTTATTGTGTTCATATTGTATTGCAAAAGACTTCTGCTGCTGTTGAGGTGGGATACGGGTAAGGTTAGGGACAGGTTTGGTGGTATGGGTAGGTTTAAAGGGGTCATATGATGCGATTTAAATTTTTCCTTTCTCTTTGAAGTGTTACAAGCTCTTGGTGCATAAAGAAGATCTGTAAAGTTGCAAAGACTAAAGACTCAAATCCAAAGAGATATTCTTTATAAAAAGTTAAGAGTCAACAACACCTACCTAAAACGTCACGATGTGGGAAGATTTGCATAACGCCTACCAAATGTTCACGCAAAGAAAGAAGGTGTAACTTTTATTCTCGCTGTAGTTTTGTTGCTGCCGCCATGTCGTGAAGATGCTGTGTGTTTTGTTGTGAAAGCAAAACTACTTTATTTGGCCTTCCAAAAGAGGACGATATCCGATTCGTCATACCTGGAGCTGACGAAGCGGCCTCCGCTCACTCAAGCCCGCCATGTGTTTCGTTGTGAAAGCGAAACTACTTTGTTTGGTCTTCCAAAAGAGGACACGATTAGAAATCAGTGGTTAAGTTGTATTTACCAGTTCCAGAACAGTTCAACCCAAATATTCAGATGTGTGCAGCACATTATATGGAGACTGACCCTGACGATCTGGGTGCAACAGACAGGAGACTTGTCATGTCCTGTCTGTTGCACCCAGATCGTCAGGGTCAGTCTTTCGGTATCCCAGTCTGGTATCTAGTGTGAGGGATACACCACTGGTGTCTGCACGCACAGCTGGTATCCCCAAACCCACTCACTCTAACCCTTCTGTTCATGAACTAATTCCCCTGTCTGAAGTGTTTCCCCTGATGGGGATCGCTTGTTGTTGTGTTTGGGCTGCATACACCTCCACAGAACTCCCAGAGGCGGCAGCATCCACTATCGGGTCTCCAGAGTCGGCGGCTGAAGCTACAGTATCTCCTGTGGTAGTGGTGCTCGCTGCTATGTTCCCCGAAGCGATGGTGCCCGCTGCAGTTTCTGCAGAGAATGGCAGTTTGAGTGGGTGTTATATAGTGAGTGAAGTGATAAGAAACAGCTGTGTGCAATGAGTGCAATCAGTGCAGTGTGCAAACCGTGCAATGAATGATGGGATATGTAGTCCAGGGTGCTATGCAACAGTTTGTGTTGTGCGAGAGTCAATGTAATGGAAAGGGTGACCTTTGGTGGTGAATGAATGGAAGTCCATGGACAGAATTCGTGACAAGTGTAGAGTAGCGCTTGTTGTTTGTCATTTCTCCGATCACAAATACAGACATGGTTTTATGTTTACACGGTGCTATGCAACGCAACACGTAAAAAGACAGTATAAAGGCCCGTTCACACCAAGCACGATAACTATAAAGATAACGATAAAGATGTAGTTCTAAAAATCGTTCTCAATATTAAAGAATAGCATAGTTCACACCACAACTATAACTATAACGATGCAGATGAACGATATCGTTGTGATCACTTTCAAAACTTTTTTTTTCCAGCTGATGAATGATACAAACACTGACAGCCAATCAGAATCCATCCTAATGTAACAAGCTAAAAAATTTAAAGCGGCAGACGCATGTGCGTTAAAATAAACAGACGATATCATTCGCTGGTGTGGACGCCAATATTGTTATCTTTATAGTTATCTTTATAGTTATCGTCCTTGGTGTGAATGGGCCTTAAGTCATTATAATCCGTAATTATGTCCCCACTGGATGCAACAAATGCCTCGTTTATAATGGGTTTTAATGTTTTTGTCTCGTCGCTCCGGCCGGACAGGGCATCACAGTATGGTAAGGGGTGTAGCATTGCTTGAGGTATTTGGCCAATCACAACACACTGGATAGCTGGCCAATCACAGCACACCTCGCTTTTCAGACCGATGAGCTTTGTAAAAATCAACGCGTTTCAGAAAGGCGGGGCATAGAGGAGAAACAACAATGTACAGTATGTGGAAAATAATGTGTTTTTTTAACCTTAAACCGCATAAACACATTTCATTACACCAAATACACAAAATAATGTTCTTTTTAGCAACATCATATGACCCCTTTAAGGGTGGTTTAAGGTGTAAGGGATGGGTCAACAGTGTAATTACAGAAATTAATTACCTGATGCAATTACAGGTATTTTAAAAAATATAAGTACAATGTAAAAACATGTATTTACACAATAAGTGCATTGTACCGAAGGATTAATTTAAATGTAAGTACAGTAGTTAAGGCCACTTAATACAAAGTGGGACCAAATATTCTAATAAACTTTTAAAAATGTCTTTCCCTATTAATTGTCATATTAATACATTAAAAATGTCAGACAATATGAAATGGTGTCATGGACAGTGGTTCATTTTTCATTATTGATTTCTAAATTAATTTAACAAATGTGTCTTGTTACTTGTGTTAAATTATTTCTTTTAATTTTAGGTTGCCTTTTTTAAAATCCGGCAAGGGGCAAAAGATGAAAATTAGCCTTTTGGGCTAACTTTGGCTTATTTACAGTATTTTGACTGTTGATTAATGAGCACTGTCCCTATTAAATAAATAAATAAATAAAATTATCCAAATACAAAAGAATGAATGTAAATGTAGTAATAATGAATATTCAAATATTGCATAAAGTTTAAGTAGGCCTACATGGTCAGTTTCTGTATGATTTGACTAGTTGATGTCACATTATTCTGTTAATGAACGTGTTTGTGTTAATCTAAACATTGGCGCTTTTCTTTTTGGCTTTTTAGCATTCTCTGCAACTCTGAAAGGTAAATCATAAACACAAGTCACTTTTTAATATTTGTTGTTTATCAATAACAAAAAGAAGCAGTTTCAACAGTGTAAAAAGTAAAATACCCAAATATATATATATATATATATATATATATATATATATATATATATATATATACATATCTTTGTGTTTCTTGTAGCCCAAGAGCCCAAGAGGACTCTGTTTTTTGGAGAAGACTTCCACATCCTCGTGTATATATATATATCTTTGTGTTTCTTGTAGCCCAAGAGATGTCTCAGACTTTGTTTTTTGGGGAAGACTTCCACATCCTCGTGCCGGCCGATGGAGCTGACGTGACATTCAGGCCTTCGATTGTCCCAGGTCGTGAGAAGCCGCTGATGAGTTCTGGGAAGGTGGTGGATCTCCGTGCCAAACTCAACTCTGCTTCAAACCACCTGATCCTGGAGAATGTTGGAGAAAGTGATGAAGGAGTCTACACCGTCACATCTAACCAAAATCCAGAGGACGTTACACGCATCACACTCTATGTTAGAGGTACTGCATAATTTACCAAAAAATTGTTTGCTAATTTTGTACAGCAGCTTGTACACTAAATTGGATGCGCACACATGCGCACTAGAATAGCTCTGAGTGACTTCCATTATTATAGGAAGTCATGTGGTGAACAGTAAGGGAGGTTTAATGACCTGCTGCAGTAATTGTAGCTCTGTCAAGCCACACTGGTTCCCTTCCGTTCTTCTCTACCTAAAGATCCTTCTTGCTCTCTACCCAACTATCTGTTTCTTCCATTATCAGCTGTGCTTACTGGCACTTGGCCTTTTTTCTTTCAACAATTAGTCAGAGAAAGGAAGCGCTTAGGAAAGTCAAACTGAGCTGGTGATATGAACTGTTTTATTTTCTGTTTATTTTCTATGTCTTTTTTTTCTAATAAACATTCAAATTAAACAGATAAAATAGATGAAATTAAAAAGAATATAGCAAAGCTGTCATTCATTATATGCTGGTTTGTAGTTACTGCTAAACATATATTTCCCATAATTTAAAGAAAATATGAATTTGACAACTTACAAAAACTTGGGAGACAAGGTTGATGGTTCTACTTGACCAACTACAAAAATGTGAAAATGGAATTTAATGATTTACTTCTCATAATACTGTAGAAATATGCGAAAGATGTTCCAAAATGTGGGGTTTAAATTTAATATTTTAAATTTGCTTTACTAAAATGAACTGAATGTCAATTCACTGGAAGATGTCAAAACATGACGTTTTGTTGGATACAGTCGAGAAGATCTAGCATCTACATCTGACATGGGACAGACCAAAATACCAATTTTAATGGGGAGTGCAAACAACTGATGTATTTAGACCTAGCAATTGTTCATGTTACATTAGGTTAATTTCAGTGTATAGTAGTTTATCTAATAGTAAGTTCATACAGTATACTTTCAAAGGCAGGGCAAGTTCCACATCTCATTTATCTCATGTGTTCCTCTCCTTTCTCTCTCTCATTTTTCCAGATTGCTCTAGTGAGGTCATTGTTAGATACGGCTTAGATTTTCATGTATCACTGCATGATATCTCGGAGCCAGTGCGTGTGGGCTTTCGCCACAGCACCGTGGAGGCCAATCAGACGTCATTGCCGGCTGATGAACTGCTGAATGCTGATGGAATGCCCAAGGAGAATTACCAGGACCGCGTTGAGATCACTCCTCAAAAGTTCACTTTGCGTGCCGTTACAGGGGCTGATGAAGGCAGCTACACCTTTAGTGATTCCATTGGGAAAATCCAGAAGAAGATCTGCCTGAACGTGAAAGGTGAGAGTGGGAAGAAGAGAGAAGGGAAAACACGCACTTATATTATTTTCAAATAACATATTAATGTCCTAATCCTGACCTTCTGACTGAAATAAGTACAGCAATAATTTGTAATTGTAATTGTGATACAATATTAATATATGATTAGCTATGGAGGACATTTTGAAGGAGAAATAAAATATGTGAAGGATAATAAAATAAATAATCTAAAAATAAACCCAAAGGCTGCGAATAGGACCACTGTGTGAAGTAGAAGGGTCTTGTATCATTCTGATTAGATTTATTTTGCACTAATAACCAAATAGCTGTATATTTTCCTGCACATTACATGTCTATAAATAAATGGAAGTATTGATTTGTGGTGATATTATTTGATTTCATGAAGAGAAAGAGGCCGCAGAATGATGTGAGATATATGAAACTAGTGTAGGAGAATTTTGTTAGGGACAATGGACAAATAAACAGTTTAGCGTTCATCATACAAAAACGTTTGGTATTCTGAGAGCCAAAAACGTGTGAAAAAGGTGTGAAATATACAACTGGAGGTTGTTTGTATGTAATATACACTCTTAAATATTAAGCTTCTAAAGGTGGTGTTTTGCAGCAATGCCATACAAGAACCATTTTGGGTTCACCAAAAAATCTTTCAGTGAACAGTTCTTAAAAGAACCAGTGTAAAGAACATTTAGGGTAAAGAACAAGAATTATTTTCGACTATAAAGAACTTGGTGGAAAGCTTTCATAGATGTTAAAAGTTCTCCTTGGAACCATTGATGCCAATAAATAACTTTTATTTTTAAAAGTGTACGGTCAGTGGAGAACTCTTGAGGTACGTTATAAAACATAACAAGAAAGGATAGTAGGGGAAGTACAAAAAGAGGAAGAGAGACTCTAGTCTCAAGTACAAAAATGGAATAGAGTCTGTCATTTTCTGCCTGCAGCATTTATTCCCTAAAATATTTATGCGTTCTCCTCCCTGCCGATTCGTTTTCTTCTTTCTTCGCTCTCATGACATCATCTCAGCTCTAGTAACAGCTTTCCTTCTTTTTCTCCTTCCTTCTTTCTTTCTACCAGCACATCAGATATTTGCGACCCTTTCATATGGTGGCACTCTGAAAATAAACCTGCACATGAATAGCTCTTTAGCTCGCCTTCTGTACATCCCTCAGTCTGATAAACATAAGTATTTGATTATGGATAACGGAGAGCTCAGCGTGCCTCCTAACGTGGATCTTGAGGGTCGTCTCTCTTTGGAGGATTCTTTGTGTCTTCTGACGGATGTGAGGGCCAGCGATGCCGGAGTTTTCAGTGTGACTGACCATCAGGGATTCCTGGTGTCTGATGTCCACCTGGAGATAGAATGTGAGGACATACAATGTGACAATGGGAAATGAAATAAATAGTTAATTTAACTTTCAAGTTTTGGACCTTATAATGTCTATCTTCCTCTCTCAGCGTACAGGCTTCCAAAACTCTATATTGCCATCATTGCTCTGGTAGCATTGTTGGTGCTGCTGCTGTTGGTGTGCTTGGTGTCATGTTTGGTGAAGATACGCAAACGTGCAGCAAAGGCCAGAGCCATTGAGGAGAAAGCCCAGAATGCAGGCAAAGTGGAGGGAGATGCCTTCAGACAGGTATTTACCACCTAACTTACCACCAAAATGTGAATAAAAACAATTGAATATTCAGTGGCCTTAAACAGTATTTGGACTTATACTAATGTCATTGCATTAGATGCAAAATATAAGATACAAAATAAGTGAATCTCCAAACAAATGAGGCTCATTTCAGTTGTCATTTTTATTCATCAATCTTTATTATTATGTGTTTTTGAAAGGTGAAAATGGCCAAAAGGGAATGGGATATTTCTGTGGATATTGTATGGCAAAAAAGTTACAATATATTAAATTACTTGAAAAATTATGCTGAAGTGTCAATATGTAAGAAATGTAAAGTACAAACATTTGCCTTATGCTTCACATTTGTATTTCTTGTCTTCTCCAACATGAAAGGAGAAAGAAAAAAGTTTAACTCACTAAGCACTTTGCTCATATTTTTTGCAGGTTGTCAAAGATGCCTGTACCCATCAGAATGAGGAAGCCCCGGCCCTGTCACAGAAAGAAGACATCACTGAGAAATCACAGAGCACAGAGGTCAGCATTAAGGTGAGCACCAGGAAGCTAAAAGACATCTGTATATCTAAACCCCAAGCATTTGCTCTATATAAAATGCTGAATTATGTTGAATGTTGTGAAAATGCTCTAGGAACGCTAAGTTGTATGTATGTTCCTCAGGGTTTGGAGGTGTCTACTAAAGAGCCAAGCCTTCAAGAGAGGAACATGGAGACCAGTGACTCTGGAGTGGGATTTAATACCACTGGGCTCCCGCTTGACAGTGACACTGATGCCCCAACAGCAGCCTTAGCAGATTCTGATGTATTGAGTTCTTCTGCTGCCCCTGATGTCAAAGCCGTTCCCAACCAAGCTCCAGAGTCAAAGACAGCCCCCTCACCTCCAAAACCAGCACCTGTGGCCAAGTCGACTGCTCCTCCACCACCTTCTCCTGAACCCAATCCACCAGTAACGCCTGAACCTGAACCCAAGCCTGTGGTCACACCAACACCTGAACCCAAACCCGCTGCTACACCTGAACCGAAAATGACCATCTCACCACCACCTGAAACAAAACCGACCTTAAGCCCATCACCAGAACCCAAGCAACCTGTGACACCTGATCCGAAACCAACAACTGAAGTTAAACCAATTCCAAGTCCAACCCCTGAACCTCCAAAAGCAGTAACACCAACTCCTGATGCAAAACCAGCCGTTACTCCAGATGCCAAACCAGCAGTTTCACCTACTCCTGAACCCACACCAGCTAAAGTTGGCACTCCTGAACAAAAACCCGCTGCGAGCCCAACACCTGATCCCAAGACTCCAGATCCTAAACTGGTCTCTCCTGAGCCTAAACCAAGTTCACCTACTCCACAATCTAAACCACCAGTCTCACAGATTCTCGACTCAAAACCAACCACAAATGGTACTCCCGAATCCAAGGCTGACATCGAGTCAGAGCCGAGTGCACCCATATCTCCTGGGCTAGATGTGAAGGGCACAACCCCTCCCAAAACCCCTGATACTGGGAAAAGCTCAGTTAAAACTCCTGAGCTCATCTCCAGTGGAGGTCTAGACTCGGCTGCCCCCAATGACAGTGCACCACCTTCAAGCACTGATGGAGCTGCCACCAACTGAGATTAAAACCATAGCCTCGTTCCTGCCTCCTCCTAGTGTATTAACCACCACAGACAATCGAGACACTAGACTTAACAACAAAGAAGAGCTAAATGACTTCCTAAGGGGGTGGGTTCCTCAGTCTTTTGAGTCTCACTTTTAATACAATTAACATGCATCAATAGAAAGATCCACTGTAAATCCGCTCAGTTTACTAATATGTAATCACCCTGTAGCAGAGGTTGAGAGAAGAAGCATTTCCAACCTTACACCATTGGCTAATTTAATACAGAATGAGGGAGGCTGTCTGGGATATTCCAAGAAAGTGTACAAAGACAAATCTCCCTTCACAGAAATAATACATCACTGCATGAAGATATTGAGAAAATAAATTATGTTATCGGTTCCGTAATCCAAGTTATTGTGGCTGAATTTGGGGAAAGGCACACAGGAACATGGGACATTAATCATTTTCATTCTTTATGAGATCATTTCTGCTCCATTTCAACCAGTCGGAGAATCCAAATAGCTGGACTGATACTGAGAAAGCGACCAACCTTTCATTGTCAGAGGACTGGAAAAGTGGAAAAATCATGTATCACTTTGACCCATGCAAGTCAACATGTCATTTTGACAAGGGAGATGAATGAGGAAACTACAGAAGTGCAAAGCAGAAGGAAGAAATACCAAAATCCTTCGTAGACTAATCTGTGACTCTGTGCCTGGAGGACATTTTTGAGAATCTTCTTCTATCAATCCAACCTATGGATGTTCTTGTCCAGAGATGTGACAGTGCACATTTCCTGTTCAGTCAGTAACAAAAATATTGTTGTTGAAATCTTTCCATGAAGTTAAAAACATTTCTGTAATCTTTAAAAAAAAAAAAATGGTTGATGAGAAACAGATGTTGGCAGCAGTATACGTAAACAGGTTTGCTTCATTGAGTGAGCTGTGTCTGATATATCTAAATAGTGAGGCTGTCTCCATCATTAATGAGTTTTCTGGTGCATTGTGATTGGAATGAATTGATCCTTGCACCATTTTGGCGCTAAGCAATTCACAAAAGCAGTTATGCAAATCAGGTGAAGAGTGCTCAATTGTGGAGAATGCAGCAGACTACTGCAATATGCTGTACTTTTACTGGCACCTTACAGAATCTCTTCACCACTGCGATACAAACACCTGAATTGGCTTTCTAAAATGTAAAAAGTGTTCTCGGTTGCATACCATTATGCGATTATTTCATCATCATTTGATGAATTAATCCCACAATCAAAAATTACAGAAAAAGCAGGTGTGTTTGGGTTGAAAAGAATGGCAGTGATTGCAGGTGATTAGTGAATAAGACACTTTTTTATGCTGAAATACAGTGTGCAAAAGTGACGCAAGCTGAGAAGTAGCCCCAGAATGTCTTGTGTAGTTAAATTTGCTTGAGGAGCAAATGGACATGGTTTGTAAGAAGATCTAGATTGTTTGTGTTGCTACAATGTTCCACAAATAATTTTGGATTTATAGTCATAGTTGTAAGACAATAACAGTCTCACATATCAGTTTACATATATTCCTGGTGCCTCCGGTAGAACCTGAACACCACTGCCTGTTAATGTTGTATGAGTCCAGGAACCCGCTCCTACCACACTATCTGTGGGAGCTGATGTTAAATCACAGTGAGTAGTGGGGATGGTAGCTAACTCGATATTCGTATCAACGTCTTGAAGTGTGGGCAGATCTGACAGACTGGAGGTTTGTGGGTAGACTTTCTAACTGAAGATGATCACTACCTCACATTTAAGCCTGACTAAAGTACTAAACCATTAATTAAACAACATTGCAATGTATGTTGACATTAAATAAAAAATGTAGATTTTTGGCAAAGCACAAGGTTTGAAATGCAATTAAAGGTTTACAAAACTCAATCAGATATTTGGCCATGCCTTTCCCACAAACCTCTGAAAATGGCCTTGTTCTTTCTCAGCCTTTAACAGCTGTTTTAATATCAGTGCAAGGAAATGTCACTTGAAAGCCATATAGTCTTAGTGTCACAACTCATAATGTAAATATCACAAACCCTAGATGTCGTAACCATAGGAGCACTGCAGCATTAAAACGTAAAATTATGATATATCCATGACAAAACAAAATTTGATACATCGGAACTATCTGACTCAAAATGGCTTATGAGCAAACCTGAACCATATTTTGTGATGTTAAAGATGCACTCCGTAATTTTTATGTGTTGCACTGGTCGATTGGACACTGGTCTTGGGCCTACACTGACACCTAGTGGTGTGGAGGTAGAATAATGTGAAACCAGTAGTTTTAGGTTACCAATACCATTGTAGAAATGCTCTGTTTGCAGTCAGCTGCGATCAGTTTATAATGAATGAAAGTGTCTAATAATAAGAGGGTGGTCTTCGAGATAAAGAGATAAAGTAGTATTCAGCTAGTCGTGTGATTTCAACATGGCGGCACCTATGAGGTGACCCACTCCATGTAAAATAAAACAGCTGTTTGGGCTGATATTAAAACATATTTCAGAAGTGTTATTCATTTATTTAGCGGTAAAACTTAAAAAAAAATACTGAGTCCACCTTTAAAGTTACTGTTTGGAGAGCTCGAGAGAGAGAGAGAATCAGTATTGAAGAACATCTAAGCAATATAAAAGAAACGTGCAGATACACACTGATACATGTATACATGCATAATAATAACTTGTTTTGAAGATTGTATTGTGAGGTTCTGTAGTTTGGTCTTCAAGTTCCAGATTCTTTTGTTTCTCACAATGATTCACAGGCAGGCAGACACAGGAGGGATTTTATAATTTTTTTTACAATACAAAACCTATGAACCTAGTGTAGCATAACTGTCATGCTCCCTTCAGCTAATCTCATTGGCTGTTAAGCGTGAGCTTGATTTCACATGCCCTTACTTTCATCTCCAGCAAATGATGTCACTCTTAAGTGCATCCCTGTAATGCACATTACACAGGTTTCCAGGCAAAATCAGTTTTCCTCTGATCACTCCCTGAATCATCACAGTGTCTTATCGTGCTTACGATATTTGCTACCCTTCAGGACACTGCCACTGATATTAGTCTTGTATCATGACATGATTACTGTCTGTTTTTGTATTTTGTGTGTTGATGCTTGTGTTGTATGTATATGGGTGCAATTTGGTATTTTTGAAGAGAGATTATAGATGTTATTCATCATTGGCAACATCAGGAGGCCTGTATGTGTTTGTACAAGTGCATGTGAGTATGTTTGTGTGTGTCAGTGTGTTAGCAAGAAACTCCATTGGATAGCTGTCATTTCAATGCAATTAGCAATGTCCTTTTTCTCCCCGGCTTGCTGGTAATTGCTGTTCCTTTTTAAGTGGTATTAAATTCAGATTCAATTTAAGGGAGTGCACAGTGCGAGATTTCTATCATAATGGACTAGATGCTGTCTAGTGGTACCCAACTGCTCTCTGTTTTGATACCAAGATAGCCGTGTTACAGGTCGCTTTGATTTAGTCGGCACTCAAGGCTACACCAATGGAATAGTAATCCAGTTTATATAGCACTTTTCCCTTGCTCAAAGCGCTTTACAAAATTCAGACACTAAAGTAACGATGCATCGTCATTGCAGTCTGTCATTGCATGCTATAGAGTTACTCTCCCATAGTGTCCGTCTGTGCTAGTGTGGTCATGCATATGTAGGAGGTATAGTGTGTAGACTTCTAAAAGTACTCTGATTTTCATGTATCGCACGGCTCTGCAGGTCTCTGATTGGATAATTCCATTGTATAAAACATCCCTGCTATGGATGTCACTGAAAATGTTGCATTCTATGTGTCACCCTATATCTTTCCATTCCATTGGTCAGACCTGATTGGTCGAAAACATTCTAAAGGGCATTAAAGGGATAGTTCATCCAGAAAAGAAAATTCTTTAATTTTTCACTCACACTCATTGCGTTCTAAAACTGATTTTCTTTTGTCCATACAATGAAAGTCAATGAAAGAGATGAGTGTTTTTTTAATCCCCACTGTCTTTCATAATATGGATAAAAACAACTGAAACTTTCCACAAAAGAAAGTCATACTGGTTTGAAACAACATGAGGGTGAGTAAACAAAAAAAAAATCATTTTTGGATGAACCATCCCTTTAATCAAAACTCAGAATTCAATGGGTGTGGAATTATCTGTCAAGAGTGAGGAAAATGAGCGGTGAGAATGTATAGAGTATGAGAAGCCCAAGTATCCTGTGGTGTTGTGCGTGTTTTAAGTAAACTCAACGTGCAGTTGTGTCCCACAGGTGCATGAGAGGTTTCTGCCTCTCTTTTCCTCTCCTTATTCCACCTGAGTGATGCTCTACAGTTTATCAGTCCCCGTTCTTCCTTTTTGCACAAACACAACACATAAACATTTTGTAAAGAAGTGATACTTCCTTTATTTCATGCCTACAAATGATAATAAATGATTTTAAAATGTTTCAACGTGTGTTGTTTTTTCTCCTCACACATGTAGCAGTTATAAAGGCACTCTGACATGACTCTTCTGTGGCTGTGAGATATTTGCAAAAAAAAGATAGTGCTTTCTGCCCTTGTAGTCAATCACATTCAAAGTCACTCATCTGCCTCTCTAGCTTTTTCTTCTCTTCTCCCCGGCCTGTTGCTGGCAGGGTGCAGAGAAATCCTCCCTCTTTTGTTTTGTCACTCCAACAGCACATAGCTGGCATAATGCAACAGATCTGCCTAGCTTATTTATAGACAAGTAATGGTAAACCGACGCTTTTAACAGTATGTCAGCAGGCAGAGAAATATAATTCATTTTTTATTTTTCATGGCTTTCTATTTTATTGTGCAAGTACACTTATTAAGTTACAATACATGCACAAAGGTGACTTTCAAACAGTTTGCATGATAAATGACATGCATTTTATTTATTTGCATGCAAATATATCAAAATAAAAAGAAATAGTTCACTCCCAAATGAAAATTCTATTATTATTCATTCACCCTAATGTCATTCCAAGGTCCATCCTTCCATTCTCCAAACTGTTTGTCCTGTGTAGGATCACGGAGATGCTGGAGCCCACCCAGCATTTTGGGCTAAAGGCAGGGAAACACCCTGGACAGATGGTCAGTCCATCACAGAGCACCCGGAAATAAGCCACACAGGCAGAACATTCAAACTCCACACAGAAAGGCCTCCTGACTTAGCTGGGACTCAAACCAGGCACCTTCTTGCTGTGAAGATTAACACTGAGTCAACATGCCACCCGAAGATAAAGCACCTGGTATTCCCAGGCAGTCTCCCATCTACAAACCGAGCCAAACCCTGCTTAGCTTTTGAGATTAGATGAGATCCAGCATTCCAAACTCATGTTTTTTAAATACATTTTTATTGTTTTTTGCTATTTATTGTATTTTTACACATCGATAGTTCACTGTGACCACAGACAGGACAAAAAAGCACTATGAATGTTGTCCATGTTAGTCATGCACTATTTTCGCTGATAATCATCTTCACCTCCTCTGCAGCTCTCAAATCAGATATGGTGCATGCCAGACATCAATAAAATCAAAGCTCACTGGTTTCCGAGAGTCTCATAATAAACATTGTGACATCAAACCGTAATGGCATACAGTTTTGAAACATGACATCTTCTTTTATGTTCAACATAAGAAAGAAATTCATACAGGTTTGGAACGACATGAGAGTAAGTAAATGTAGCGTCTGGACCAATCAAACACACAATATATATTTTGTTTTTATATTTAACAAATGCTCTGTAACCTCAGTTAACAAGCCATACGAGGACCCATGAACCCTTCCCCCCGGAATGCGTAACACCCCAGGAAGTCGAACAGGCCTCTTTGTTGCATGGCAACCAACGCTGATATCACTGGGTTTATTGGCCAAAAGTATGTAAAGCAGGGAAAATCCCTGCATGTCCCAAGGAAAGGCAGAGTAGAAATGGACTGTGTTCTAGTTAATTCATAGGAAAACCGTTATTTGAATGAACACACATATTCTTCAGGCCATTGGGTATTTTATTGTCATTGTGTATTTTGTCTTTGATATTTTTAGACTATTTTAGTATGCTTGTGAGGGAACCCATTCCTGATCATCCCTTTTCACTATATGTAATCTTACCTTGTTTAGTATCTATGAATTCACCTTCTTATGAT